GCAAACTAAAATTAGATGGATGATCGATGATTAGAATATGTACATACGTATGCATAATTATAACACAGGCCAACAAAAATGGAAAAAATTTGGTGTGGCAAATGTTAAAACTACATTTGATAGACTGTTTTGTGCTGATTACGAATTCGTTAGTATAAAGCTACCATCAGCTCGAGATTTTGAGATCAACGAGGTCAAACTGTCGAAAAATCGCGTTTTTTGTAATATTTGAGAAGTTCTAGCAAAAAGACAAGAGCTGATAGAACCCTTCGACTTAAGTTTAAATTAAAGCAAGAACTCTGGACTACCATCCCTGAAAATACCATCCCTACACCTTGACCCGTTGGTCACTTATAGTCATTTATTGAACAATAACAAAATAGTGGAAGATTCTGTCACTTGTTATCTCTTTGCGAAAGCTTTTCAACCTTGTGCATTTTATTTTTGTGAATTTACAAATGCAAGGAATATGCAAATGCATGAGCATATGCACAGTATCCTGAACTGCTCTAGTATATATTCGTATGTACAACTTAGGCCGCATATCACTTACTTAAAAGCTCCAAACCAGAATTTCTCACCAAGTTTTTCATCTAGTATTCATAGTTGAAACGACACACAAATTCCCCAAAGAGTTGTTGAGAAATGATGCTGGACTGACAGACCTTGGCCAGATATGAATCTGCGTCGTTACGGTTACGTAGACCCGACTATTTTAGGAACGTGATAAACTTGGTCAGGAGTTCTAGTTTAGCCTAACTTTTGTAAATCACCGTGTGGGGCTAATTCGCATGCAATTTACTTGGCTATAAAGAATTCGGTCCAGAGTTTGAGAATTTTTGAAACAATAACAACCGTATACATGGTTTATTTCAAGTCGTTCATTGTTAACGAACCAAATGTCAAGGTTTTGAATTAGGGCGTATGTACATACGTATGTATGTATACTGTTACGACAGGTAGTAAGCGCCAGGTACTTATTGTTAACAAGCATTGCCCTCGACTTTTCTGTCTATAAATACTGATATATTTCTTAATTTTATTTCAGTGTTGAACTAAGATTGCTTCGATCTGTTTAAAAGGCGTCCTTCAATCGAAATAAGGAAGTGAAAATAAAAACATACTCTACCTAAAGCATAACAGCAAATAAATATCAGAGATTTGCACGATGTCTGCATCAAT